CCCCAAAACCCCAAAACCCCAAAACCCCAAAACCCCTTTATTTGTAATAATTATTGAAAATGGACATCCAAAGCAGTTTGACCCTTTTAAGGATAAACTCTGCTGCAAATAGTTGAACCAAGCAAAAACTCCATCGTGATCTTAATTTTGCTGGGAATAGTGCTCTAATTGTCAAAACTAGAAATTTGAAAACCTCATTCCCTGAGAAGTAAGTTTAGGTGCTATTTCTTAGAAGGCAGATAACTCAGGATAAAAAATAAAACTCAATCAATCACTGAGATCATGACTCCGTCACACAGTTTCAATTATGTTAGCTATGATGGGTGCAAAGATAATATATCCCAGTCACCTACTTCACTTCCAAAGAACAGAAATTTGATAACCTTTATTACAAGTTTCAGGGACAAGTCTAAATTTTGTAAGTGACTTTTGGGAAGAACAGTGGGATTTATGTGTAGGATTTAAGAGCATGATGAGGCTGCAGAGAGATAGGTTGTAAGTGGGAGTGGAGATGGTGTAGGTGAAGAAAGGAGAAGAGGAGGAGAGGGGAGTTGGAGAAAGCGGTTACTATAAGAAGGATGAGGTGTAGGGTGGGAGAGAGTCGGAAGTGTTTGAAGAGGGGCAAGAGAGAGAAGTTACAGCTTAGAGATGCGTTTACGATGCCTAGTGAGCCTATGAAAGTTGAGTTTATGAAGAAACCTGATTTTTGAGACATTAGAGCCTAATTCTCCAGCGCAGAATTTGAGTAAAGTAAAATTTCAGAGATTTTGTAAGAAAAAGCAAAGAGAAATGCACAGAAGTCTTGATTTTGTTGTAATAAAATTCTTGATCTTGTAGCAAGGAAGAAGAATTGGCAGAGTTCGTAGAGCAAAACCGAGCGAAAAAGCTCAACATTTAATAAATATAATGACAAATAAACAACCATCCCAAGAGGAAGAACTACCTAATCATATAAATGTAAATATTCTGATAATTTTCTAGGCTTTTGATTGCACCTTTGGGGTTGATAAGAAGCCTCAAAAGAAAAAGATTAATTTCAAACTAAAAAGACCTCCCCAGTCTAAATCCCAAGAAAAATCAAGCGTAATACTAATCTAATATTTTAGAAATCCTCTTCCTTAGCTTACAAGAACCATCAGAGGCTCAACAATTGGGTAATAGACTAAAATCTCTTAAAATATTTCAATTCTCTTACTCAAAATAGGGGTTTTGGGGTTTTGGGGTTTTGGGGTTTTGGGG